GTTTTCCTCCAATCTTGATGCCCTGTTCTTCTTCATATAGTCCAGCGTCTTGGATTATTTGCTCAGCATACAGACTGGATAGGTATGGTGAAAGGGTACAATCCTGACACACACCTTTCCTGACTTTAAATCATGCAGTATTCCCTTGTTCTGTTTGAACAACTGCCTCTTGATCCATGTACAGATTCCTCATGAGCACAATTAAGTGTTCCACAATACCCATTCTCTGCAATGTTATCCATAATTTGTTACGATCCACGGAGTCGAATGCCTTGGCATAGTCAGTAAAACACAGGTAAACTTCTTTCTGCTATTGTCTGCTTTCAGCGAGGATCCATCTGACATCAGCAATGATATCCTTGGTTCCACATCCTCTTTTGAATCCAGCTTGAATTTCTGGCAGTTCCCTGTCGATGTACCACTACAGCTTCTTTTGAATGATCTTCAGCAAAATTTTACTTGTGTGTGATATTAATGATATTGTTGGATAATTTCTGCATTCCATTGGATCACCTTTCTTGGGAATAGCCATAAATATGGATCTCTTCCAGTCAGTTGGCCAGGTAGCTGCCTTCCAAATTTCTTGGCCTAGACAAGTGAGCACCTCCAGTACTGCATCCATTTGCTGAAACATCTCAGTTGGTATTCTGTCAATCCCCAGAGCCTTGTTTTTCGCCAGTGCCTTCAGTGCAGCTTGGACTTCTTCCTTCAGTACCATCAGTTCCTGATCATATGCTGCCTCCTGAAATGGTTGAATGTCAACCAGTTATTTTTGGTATAATGACTCTGTGCATTTCTTTCATCTTCTTTTGATGCTTCCTGCATTGTTTATTATTTTCCCCATAGAATCCTTCAGTATTGCACCTCGAAGCTTGGATTTTTTTCTTCAGTTCTTTCAGCTTGACAAATGCTGAGTGTGTTCTTCCCTTTTGGTTTTCTATCTCCAGGTGTTTGCACATGTTATTATAATACTTTAGTTTGTCTTCTCAAGCCACCCTTTGAAATCTTCTGTTCAACTCTTTTACTTTATCATTTTTTCCTTTTGCTATAGTTACTTGACGTTCAAGAGCAAGTTTCAGAGTCTCTTCTGACATCCATTTAGGTCTTTTCTTTCTGTCCTGTCTTTTTAATGACCTCTTGCTTTCTTCATGTATGATGTCCTTGATGTCATTCCACAACTCCTCTGGTCTTCGGTCATTAGTGTCCAACACGTCGAATCTATCCTTGAGATGGTCTCTAAATTCAAGTGGGATATGCTCAAGGTTGTACTTTGGCTCTTGTGGACTTGTTCTAATTTTCTTCAGTTTCAGCTTGAACTTGCATATGAGTAATTGATGGTCTGATCCTCAGTTGGCCCCTGCCGTTGTTCTGACTGATGATATTGAGCTTTTCCACCATCTCTGTCCACAGATGTAGTCAGTTTGATTCCTGTGTATTCCATCTGGCAAGGTCCATGTGTATAGTTGCCTTTTATGTTGGTGAAAAATGGTATTTGCACTGAAGGAGTCATTGGTCTTGCAAAATTCAATCACGCGATCTCTGGCATCGTTTCTATCACCGAGGCCATATTTTCCAGCTACCAGTCCTTTTTTGTTTCTAACTATCACATTCCAATCACCAGTAATTATCAGTACATCCTGATTGCATGTTTGATCAATTTCCAACTGCAGAAATTGGTAAAAATCTTCAGTTTCTTCATCTGGCCTTAGTGGTGGTTGTATAAATTTGAATAATAGTTATATTAACTGGTCTTCCTTGTAGGTGTATGAATATTATCCTATCACTGATAGCATTGTACTTCAGGATAGATCTTGAAATGTTCTTTTTGACGATGAATGCACCGCCATTCCTCTTGAAGTTGTCGTTCCCAGCATAATAGACCATATGATCGTCCGATCCAAAATGACAAATACCAGTCCATTTCAGCTCACTAGTGCCTAGGATATCAATCTTTATGCGTTCCATTTCACTTTTGACGATTTCCAATTTTCCTAGATTCGTACTTCGTACATTCCACGTTCCGATTATTAATGGATGTTTGCAGCTGTTTCTTCTTTTTTTAAGTTGTACCACATCAGCAAATGAAGTTCCTGAAAGCTTGACCCCATCCACGTCATTAAGGTTGACTCTACTTTGAGGAGGTAGCTCTTCCCCAGTCGTATTTTGAGTGTCATCCAACCTGAGGGGCTCATCTTCCGGCAGTATATCAGACACTGTTCTGCTGCTATTCATAAAGTTTTCACTGGCTGATTCTTTTCAGAAGTAGACTGCTGGGTCCTTCTTCGTACTCTGTCTTAGTCTGGAAGCTCAGCTGAAACAAGTCCACCATGGGTGAGCTTGCTGGTATTTGAATACCGGTGGCATAGCTTCTAGCATCACAACAACACACAAGCCCCCACAGTACGACAAACTATCTATTGACAGTTATTCTATTTATTTAGTAAATAAATAAGGAATGTGATTCCTTCTCTCAAGTAGCTTTTAGTTTAGGAGACACTAAAAATATATGTTTTTTTAAATAATCAATCATCCAGGATAGAAATCGCTAAGTGTGATGTTGTTGTTGTTGTTAGGTGTCATCGAGCTGGTTTCCACTCATAGCGACCCTGTGTACAATAGAACGAAACACTGCCTGGTCCTGTACCATCCTCGCAATCGTTGCTTTGCTTGAGCCCGTTATTACAGCCACTGTGTCAATCCATCTCGTTGAGGGTCTTCCTCTTTTTCGCTAAGCCTCTCCCAAGCATGATGTCCTTGTCCAGGGACTGGTCCCTCCTGATAACATGTCCAAAATATGTGAGAAGTCTTGCCATCCTTGCTTCTGAGGGTCATTCTGGCTGTACTTCTTCCAAGACAGATTTGTTCGTTCTTCTGGCAGCCCATGACCAACACCATAATTCAGAGGCATCAGTTCTTCTTCGGTCTTCCGTATTCATGTCCAACTTTAGAATGCATATGAGAAAGTGGCCCTTGACCTGACTCTTGAAGATGACATATGGATATATAGAGTGTTGGTGCTTCAGTACTTGAAAAAGAAACTTTTGTCTTTTTGAAAGAAATATAGGTCTAGACAGTATAAATATAGAAAAAAAATCAAACTAGTCAGAGTCACAGTGTTAAAATTTATATACCATTTAAAGAGACAATTTATCAGTAGAACTTAATTCTCTGAATATATCCTAAATATAAATTTCTTAAAATAAATTGAAAATCTTTATTAAGGCAAAAAACCTTTCTAAGCACATCTTTTACCCATGAAAAATTCTCTGCTTCTTCTGACATTTGGCTTTTTTATATTCCATTAATA